ATCAAATGGATACTAGATTTATCGGGGTGATCACTTTGTAAGTTATATAAATGTCTAATCACTGGGTTATACATCTGAAACTAATATAATATTGTATGCCAACTGCAATTGAAAAATTAAAAAAATTATTTTTAAAAATATGTGAAGCAAAATCTGATAGAACTGAGAGAATACATAGACAAATCTATATATTTTGAGATTTTAACTCTCCTCAGTAATTGATAGAAGCAGTAGACAGAAAGTAAGCAAAGATATAAAAGAATTGAAAGACACCATCAATCAACATGATCTAATTAAAATTTACTGAACACTCCAACTAACAACAGCAGAATACATCTTTTCAAGAGCACCAGAAATACTAAAATAATGTCCTGGCATATAAAATAAATAGGAAAAATATTAAAATAATTAAATTCATGCAAAATATATTCTCTAACCATGGAGCAATTAAACATGAAAGCAATGACAAAAAATAGAAAACTCTCCTGACCTTGGAAATTAAACAATCCTATTCCCAACTTTCCAGTAGTCAAAGAGGAAACTCATGAATATATATGAATAAAAGTGAAATACAACATAACATCTGTTGGATATAGTTAAAGAAGTGCTTATTGGGAATTTTAGAGCAATAAATTTTTTATATTAGAAAATAAAAAGTCTTAAATCAGCAATCTAAGCTTCCACCACAAGAAAATAAGCGGGGAGGGGAGCAAAATAAACAGAAGGATAGAAGGAAAAAAGAATGGTAAAGAGTCAATATAATTGAAAATATGAAAACAAAAGAGAAAAGTCAAACCAAAGGTTTTAGTTTTTTTAAAAGATAAACAAAATTAGTAAACTTCTGGCAGGACTGACAAAGATAAACAGAAGATACAAATTATTAATATGAAGGCTGAAAGAGGAAGTCTAACTACAGAACCCAGAAACATAAAAAGGATAATAAAAGAATAATGCAAAAAATTCTATACATCAAAATTTAACAACTTAGACAAAATAGTTCAATTCTTTGAAAACCACAAAGAAAATTCATCTAAGATGAAATAAATCATTTAAGTAGTCTTATATTAAATAAATTGAATATGTAGTTAAAAACTTGCCAAAAAAGGAAATCTCCAGATGCAATTGTCTTCACTGGTGAAACTTCCAAACATTTAAAATGAAATAATGTGTGGAATCTAGTCAAACTCATGGAAGTAGAGAATAGAATTGTGATCTCAAGGGGCTAGGAGGAGGGGGAATAGAGATGCTGGTACAGGGGTACAAAGTTTCAGTAATGCAAAACGAAGATGATCTGGAGATCTAATATACAACAATATGACTACAGTTAACAATACTGTATTGTTACTTGAAATTATCTATGAGAGTAGATCTTAAGTGCTCTCACTATTAAAAAAAAAGCAAGAAAGAAGGAAGTAAAAAGAAATGATGAGATGATGGATATGTTAATTAGTTTGATTGTGGTGATTATTTTACAATATATATGTATATCAAAACATCTAGCTGTACACTTAAATATATACAAATTTTATTTGTCAATTATACTTCAATAAAGCTGGAGGAGGGGGGATGAAATAACACTAGTTTCCTACAAACTCTTCCAGAAAACAAAAGTGGAGGGAATAATTGTCAATTCATTTTATAAGTACAATATCAAAGTCAAAGACAGTACAAGGAAGAAACTACAGACCAATTTTCCTTATGAATATAGACACAAATGTTCTCATCAAAATATACATAAATCATATCCATAAATTATAAAAAGAAAGCTACACTACAACCAGGCATGGTTTATTACACAAATGCAAGACTGGTTCAATATTTGAAAATCGACCAATGTAATCTGCAGTTTTGACAGTCTACAGAAGAAAAACCCACACCAACACATCAATTGATGCAGAAAAAAACATTTGACCAAATCCAACATGCATTCATAATGACAACCCTCAGCAAACTAGAAATAAAAAGGAATTTCCTCAATCTAATGGAGAACTACAAAATTACTAAAGCTAACATCACACTTAATGGCTAAGTCTTAATGCTTTCCCCCTAAAATTAAGACGAAACTAAGTGTATCCACTTTCCCCAAAACAATTTACACAGTATGGAAGTCCTGGCTCTTTAAATAATGAAAGAAAAGAAAAGAGAAAAAAAAGTCATGCTAATTGGAAAGGAAGAAATAAATATATCCTTATTTGCAGATTGCATGATTGTCTACATAGAAAATCCCAAGGTATCTACCAAAAAATTCCTAAAACTATTAAGAGAGTTTAGCAAGATCATAGATGACAAGGTCAACACACAAACATCATCGTATTTCTATATATTAGCAAATAACATTGGAAACTGAAATAAAAAACATAATACTATTTACAATTCCTCCAAAAAAAGTTAAAATAAATCTAACAAAACATGTATAGGATCTGTACAACAAAAAAATAAATAAAAAATGCTGATTAATAAGTCAAAGAAGACATAAATTAATGGAGAGACATGACATGTTCATAGATTTGAAGACAATATGTATAGCTTAGGTTCCTAGAGATTTGGAGAAAAGTATGCTTTTACATCAGAGTAACTTTCCTTCATTTGAAAAGCAGCTTCTGATTTTCTATTGGTCCTGAAAGAGAATAAACTCCTGAACATGGAATAACAAGTGACTTTATGACCCAAAATATTTATCATGAACTGGTATAATCTGTTCCAGTGGATCAAAATATTATGTATATAAGGCTATCTTTTGTTTAGTGGAATGGTAAATACAAGATCAGACCAAAACTGGACATGATGGCACAAGCAAACTGTATAAGCAAGTGGTCATATTCACATGGTACTTCTACTGCCTCAACAACACATGACTTTCCATGCACTTTAAAGCCCCTTGGGGAGTCCACTATAAACATTTAATAGAGAAAGAAAAGGCACCCTCCTTGAGTTATAAATATGTCTGCAAGTTATGCTGGCATCCTTTGGAAGGGAATGGCTGCTTTGTTAGCTCTAGCATAAAGTCTAGAATTAAGAGTCAGTTGGCAGTTGATATTGGTATTATTTGGAAGGTGGGATGGAGAGTAAGAAGGAGCTTCCATTATCTAATCATGCACTGCCGTATTCATATCAAATTGAGCATATATTTAAATTTTTTAAAGAAACATTAAATATATTTTCATTAAAAAGTAAATAAGAACAACTCAAGTGTTTTAAAAATGACAAGGCTAATTTGACAGACTTGTTCAGCACAGAACTTAAGAGTGAAGAAATATCAAGTTGCAAAGCCTATTACAAAAGGAATAAACGTAGTTAGGTTAACCATTTATTATACCGTCACGTTTAGCTTTCGCATTACAAGTTTAAGTATTTCTACATAGAAAACTACATTTAATGAAAAAGGAGAGTATTTGATTATTAATAAACCAATTACATTGTTTGTAGAAAACACGTTATTTGTCCTTCCGAAAAAGAGCCCACATGACACCAAATAGGGTCCATTTTTGCAAAGATGGAAAGTTCAGTCTGATTTAGGGGACATAACCATGATCGTCAGGAGCTGACCAAATAGAAGACTCCAGACTTCTTTCACGTTGGCCGGGGGCCATAGTCAGGACGGGAAGCAAGGAGTCGCTTCAAGACCTTGGACAGGGAGGAGACGCGCCCATACCTGGTGGAGCGAGGCGAAGAGGGCGCTCCCAGACTCCGCGTAGGGAGAGGAAAGGACGCCCCCAGATTCAGCGGAGCGAGGCCCGAGGACGCGTCCAGACGCAAGACTGAGGAGGACGTCCCCAAACGCGGCTGACTGAGGCTGGAGAACACGCCAAAGGAACCTCTGCCAGGGCTGCTGAGCAGCCCGCGGACCTCGTCACCGCCTGCTGCAGGCCCTGGGCGCCAGCGCGCGAGTGGTTAAGCCCCAAGCTGGGGCGGGTGTGAGCGTTTCCTAAGAAAGCTGCTGAAGAGTAAAGCTTTACGCGTCTTTTCACATAGATCTCACTAACTTCTTATGACTATTCCTTTTTTCCTTCATATCAACAGGATTCGATTTCCAAATTTATTGTCAAAGAAGAAATGATTGCTGTACAATAACATTGACCAAGATACACGTTTAATATATGTGATTTAGTAAAAAGATGTTCCTATAATAGTATGCTCATATGTCCCTAATTTGGTTCAGAAGAAAAATCAACAAGGTGCTCACGTAATGTTTAAAGTAGGTTCATCTCTGGGAAATGTGTGAGTTGTTTGATAACCATTTTCTTATTTTGCCTTGTGTATTCTTGTATATGTATTTTTGAAACTTGCTTTTTTCCCCTTTCCTGAGATAAACTGTTGGTCACAGATACTTTCTTACAGTACTCTTGTGTTCCATGTTCAAGTGTCTTATTTACATTTCACCGCCTTAGTCCCAAGAGATATTTGTACCTTGATTTCTCTGGGAATTTTTGAGTTTAAAAGGCACATTGCTGAAGAGAGAATCCCTATTTTTCTTTGTATTACAAAAATTTGAAAAACATAGAAAAGTAGAAAATGATAAAATGAGCATCCATCCATAGTCATGCCCTCCATCTAAGAAACCTTAACCTTTTGCCATATTTGCTTTGTTAGTTTTTGCTGAAATTTTGTAAAGTGAATTAACAAAGATAATTTCCGTGCTAAATGTGTCACTCTGCATGCCTTTCTAAAATCAATACATTTTCCGATATAATTCCACTTAACAATTGACTGACTGGAATGTTAACTAATATTCCTAATTGCCAGTCCACATTCAAGTTTCCCAACTTGTTCCTAATGTCTTTGGCACCTATCGATTTGCCCATTGTACTTGGCGATAAATTTCAAATTTAACTTGGGCAGAAGAGACCACCGAGATCATCTTCCAATCGTATAATAAACAAGAAACGCCGAAAAGTAACGTCAATGCGCGATGGTTTGTGGGGAATGTAGTCTTGAATCTGGCTGGTTCACAATGCAGCCACCTGGTAAGGGTCTGGGCTACACCTGCGCATGTGCAGACCCTGCACTACATTTCTGCTTCTGTACTACACTCTCTAATACTGTGACCTTCGTTGTAGCACCTGAGATGGAATGTAGGGTCCGGGGACCCCGCGAAGCCTGGGAACTTCCTGAGAGAAGTGAGCTTGTGACCCAGAGTGCGGGAGAAAGAAGTCCCGGGGTCCGCCCAACCTTAATCCCCAGTGTCGGGCTCCGATCCCATGTCCAGCCTCACCTGAGAATATCCCAGGTCAGTGGCACCGCGGGGAAAGCGTGTTTTTAGCGCAGTTGGCGAGCGTGCCAGAAAGCGCAGGCGGTAGGTCTGTGGTGGAGCACGAGTTCTGGAACCAGAAAGACCAGAGTAAATTCCAGCTCTGGGATTTCACCTGTAAGCAGAGGCGACAAAGGGAACCTAGGTAAGACTCAAGTTTCTCATGTGACAACAAGGATATTGATAATGACTGCTTCATGACGTTATTTTGAAACTTAGATTAACACATCACTTGTAAATCATATAGGCTACTGCAGGGTACTAAGCCCTGAATAAGTGACAACTGCTATTACATTTCCAAGACACTTTGTTCTTTTCATTGGATGGCTTATGTAAGCCTCACAACCACTCTGTGAGGTCGGTATAATCATCTGCATTAAAAATAACCGAAGCTCAGGTTGGTGTAGTGATGTGCTCAGGCAGAAGCTAGCTGTGAGGAAGTTCAGATTCAAAGGTAGGTGTTCTTTGCTTCCAATCTCAGGCTTTGTCTAAATATCTCACACCTGTTTAAAACAAGCATCTCAGGCTTCCCCCCCGCCCCCCCAGAAAACTTTTGCAAGTTGTTTTATTTACAATGCCAACTTTTAAAAGGTCACTAAAGTTAACTAGACAATAAACTAGACAGAAATCGCTTTACAAAAAGAGGGAAAGCCCAAAATGCCACTTTCTATAGAAACCCACAGTTGGATTTTATTTAGAGCAGAGAATGGGAAGTGGTTGTAGATGGAATCCTACCAAGTGTTACATGTATTCTGGAAGTGCTGGTATCTCTTCAGATCCCTTGAGTCAGTCACGAACTAGTCCCCCATGCACTGGCAAGTTGTATATTCAATCTGAGATTACAGTTAAACTTTGAGCAATAGAAGTTAGGGATGCCAATCCTGGTGTAGTCAAAAATCCATGTATAACTTTTGAGTCCCCCAAAACTTAACTACAGTTATACCTTGGCATTTACCAGAGTCTGATTCTAGGACCCCTACAGATACCAAAATCCAAGACTGTTACATAAAATGGTGCAGAACAATGCAAACAGCCCTCCACATCCACAGATTACTAACCTGGGATTGAAAATGTTGTTTTGATCTGTGGTTGGTTGAATCCAGTCATGTGAAACCCAAGGATACAGAGGGTCAATTGTATTTATTGAAATAAATTGACATATATGTGGACCCACACAAATCAAACCCAGGTTGTTCAAGAGTCAACTGTATTGTGAATTTCAAAGGAGTCACCTCTTTGGCCTTGAAATTAATTGCCCAGATCTAGATCTCAGCTCCTGGGAAATTCATTTGAGAGCAAAGCAGCTCTTGTGAAGTAGGAAGCAGGGGGCCTCTGGTAACAGGAATCTGACCTGGAAGAGAACACCCCCCTGAACCTAGATCTCTCTTTGGAGCTTCACAGCAGAAGCAGAAAAGCCGGTCTGCACAGCCAGAAGCAGTTCTTGATTCTCCTGCCCAGAAAGAGCCAAATTTGATGAAGACACCAGCACATTCAGAAGCCACCACACTGTGTGACAGTGGGCAGTTTGGGCCAGCGTGAAGAAGAGTGAAGTGAGGTGGGTTGGCCCAGGGTCAGGCTGCCCAGGAAAGGCCACTTTGTGGGACAGGTAGTGAGGGCAAACTCTGAGGGTAAAGAGGCAAAAGGAGGAAATTCTGTCTCCACTCTCCCTAAACAGCCCCACTCTTTCTTCACAGATGCTGTGCTGCTCTCATATGTATCTACCACCACATGTTATCATCCATTTCTGATTCATTTAAAACTTTAAAGAAGTTGGACCTGAGAGTGTCAGTAAATTGTCCAGGGCCATCTGTTTTTGACAGAATCTAAGACAGTGCCATGCACTCTGCCACAGTCTATGCTGTTGCATGTTTCTGTAATTCACTTATTTTTACTGGTAAGTAGTGACCTATTGTATAGCTATTCACCGTTTATTTCTCCATTCACCAGTTGATGTGTATTTGGATAATTTCCAAACACAAACATTCATATACAGGTTTCTTTGTGTGGACATCTGTCTTCATTCTTTTGAATTAATACTAAGGAGTAAGTGGAATTGCTGGGTCTCAAAATAAGTGTGTGTTTAAACTCATAAGGATCTGTCAGACTATGTCAAAGTGGCTATGTCATTTTGTATTCCCATCAGCAATGTGTGAGGGTTCTAGTTGCTTCACATCTCCACTAGCATTTAATAATGTTTTTTTATTTGAGCCTTCATATTAGGTTTATAATGGTATTTCATTTTAGTTTGAATCTGAAATTTTCTAATGTCTAATAATAAACGTCTTTTTATTTGGTTACCATCTGTTCCTCTTTGGTGAAGTGCCTGTTTGATTATTTTTCCCATTTTTAAAAATTGTTTCTTGCTGATTTGGAAAGTAATACATATTCTATAAAAATCTTTTCTCTAGTAAGTGATTTGTAGAACTTTTCTCTCAGCTTGTGTTTTTTCATATTCTTAGCAGTCTCTTTCAAAGATCAGAGGTTTTACACTTATCAAATTTTTAAATTTTTTCAGTTTTTTTCTTTTGTGAGTATATTAGTCTGCTTCAGCTGCCATAACAGAATACCACAGACTGAGTGGTTTAAACAACAGATATATCTTTTCCCACAGTTCTGGAGGCTGGAAGTTCAAGATCATGTTATCATTGGTGTTGTTTTCTTGTGAAGATTCTCTTCCTGGTTTTCTGATGGCCACCTTCTCACTATGTCCTCACATGGCCTTTCCTCTGTGCATACACACACACAGAGAAGAAGAGAGATTTCTAGGGTCTCTTCCTCTTATAAAAATACCAGCCCCATTGACCTTATTTAACTTTAATGACCTCCTTAAAGGTCCTATTTCTAAATATAGTCATGTTGGAGGTTAGAGCTTCAAAGTATGAATTTGGGGGATACAATTCAGTAATAACAATTAATTATACTTTTTTTGTTTTAAGAAATTATCGCCTAACGTGGTCATAAGCATTTCACCTTTTTATTTTCCTTATGTACATTTGAAAGTTATAACACAATTTGTTGAAAAGTATATATGTTCTTCATTGAAATGTCATTTTTCTGTTGGAAATCAGTTGAGGATTAATATGTGCTTCTTAAATACACATCTGTTCTTAGTATTACCTCCAGTGCTTACATATATCTCTTTGTTGATTCCCCATTACCCCATCAGAGAACTTTGAATGAGGGTGTGCGTACCCTAGAAAGTACTCAAGATAAGTCACTGGTGTATAGGAAATGATTACAAGAAGTCTATGTATAATGACTTTGTCTTTAAAAAGGTACCAAGCTTTATAGAGGCATATTAACTGACAGTAAATGAACATATTTTAGAAAGATATACAAATGAATTAGGGCATAAGAATAATATTCAGACTGATTTTGTGATACCCCCAAAGTATAAAACAAAGGGCTATGATATTTTATAATTTTATTTATTTTTTATAATATTTTGTTTTAAACTCTCAAAAGTAAACATTAAGAGTTTTTAAAGGTATTTTACATGTAGCATTTCTAAACCCTAAATGTGCTGTTATAGATAGCAGGGTTATTCAAGGATGTGACTATGGAGTTCACCCAGGAGGAGCAGAAACACCTGGGCTCTGCTCAGAGGACCCTGCACAGAGATGTGATCCTGGAGAACTGCAGCCACCTTATCTCAGTGGATGAGTGGGCTTTACCATATGATTCCATCAAAAATAAAATACTGTTTGTTCTCTTATTCTTGACTGTTTCTTTTATCATATGTGTCATATCCTTTACTGTTTCTATTGATTGACTCTCCTCCAGGCTAAATGTCATATGTGTCTTCTTTGCATGCTTCGTAATTTTTTACTAGATGCTAGATATTGTGGATATACATCGTTGCACACTGTATTTTTTGGTATTTTAAAATATTTTTGGCCTTCATTGGAATAAAGTTATTTGAAATTAGTTTGATCCTTTTAAGGTCTGCTTTTAATCTTTGTTCTGATAGATTCAGATTGCCTTATACTCTAGAGCTAATATTGCTCCTATACTAAGGCAGATTGTTTCAGGTTATTATATTGAATCCTCCATGAATTAAGAGAACTTTCTACTCTGGCGGGTGGGTGACAAATTTCACATCTCTGTGTGTGCTTTGGTTATTTTTCACTCTACTCCTTCCCAGTGTTTCTTTCCCCAAACTCAGGTAGTTGCCTTACATTCACACACAAATCTATACTCAGCCAAAGACTCAAGGAGACTTTTCTGTAGATCATCACAGTTTTCCCTTACTATGGATCTTTTTTCTCTAGTATTTTGTCCTGCAAATTCTAGTTGCCTCATCATTTTTAAACCCCTAACTCTGTCTCCTCATCTTATTGAAACTGTCAGGCTTTCCTTACTTTCCCCTTGCTGTACTGCGGCCTAGAAATTTTCCCGATTATGATAATAATAGGCCACATCTAATTTGTTTTCTTTTTCTTAAGAATTTCTGTCCTGTACTGACTGTTATCCAATTTTGTATGGTTTTCTACTTATTTGACATGAAAAGATAAAGTGAAAGTCTCTATACAGTCTTTTTTATAAAACCCAACACACGTGGACTATTTTTAGAGTTTAATATTATTTTGTCCATAAGGTTCAGGGATTTAAGAAGATTCATTCCTTTTGTCATTTCGAAAAGGTCACATGAGCATCTTTAATGTGCAGCTCCTGAAGCTATAACTTTCTTTACATTCAAAAGTATTAAATCTGATGCAGCTGATCCAAATCTTAAATTATTTCCACTTACAGAGTATAACTTTAGAAAATCAGATGTGTCCTTCGAGTTGGAGGAAGGAGAAGATTTGTGATTATTAGAGGAAGAATTTCTCAACAGGAGCTACTCAGGTGATTTACTGAGTACTAGGAGATGGTATCCAGGGAAAATTAAATCCAAACTGGTCATTTAGAGGTGGGAATTTGTAAAGGCCTTTATCTTTGGAAGTTTACAAAGAATAGATCCAATACAGTGTGGAAGGTGATGGTGGTTTAACATAACCAGTGAAGTGTAATCATATTGGTATTCTGATCTTCAAAAGCTGGAAGCCCAAGTATATCATTTACAACTGACAAATCAACTTACGGAAGTTTATTTAATGGTAAAATAATAAAAACTAAGAAATATTAGAAAAGGTACTAAAATTAAAGATTAAAGTATGATTAGAGAGAGAAAAAAATTAATTTCATCATTGGTTCTGTAATATGGAATTTCTAGATAGTCTAAGTAAATAGAATATTAACAAAATACACAAGTTTGTAATGATAAAAGTACCTAATAGAGCAAAAACACAACTTTCCTAATTATTAGAAGAAAATTTAACAGCAATGAAAACAGAACTATTACCGAAAAGGCCTTTTTACTTTTACAACGTAACTCAACATGTCTAACAACTATATCTACCACATCAGCTAATATAAAGGAGTTAAAGTTACCTATTAAAAGAAATGCTATAAGATTGTAACAAAGAGATATACCTTAAAAATAATGCAAAGTTTGAAATATAAAACAGTAAATCAGTAAGCCAATAAATATACAAATAATTCAGGATTCATTTACCTAGCTGCTAAAGTTAGAATTTAGGCAAAATAACATTAAATCAGAAAAAAGCACACTTGAATGATATTTTTTAAAGATGGTCTTTAAAAAAGCAATGAAAGTTTTGAATATCTGTGCATTAAATAAGCTACCAGGAACCATAAAGCAACAATTGTAAGATATAAGGAGAAAGAGAAACAAATTAGATATAGTAGGCCTTAATATATCCCTCTGGTTTTATACCAAATACAATGGAGAACAACTGAAGTTCTAGAAAAAGGGCCGGCAAACTAGATCCCTGAGCCAAATCCAACCTGACCCAAGTTTTTGTGAATTAAGTTTTTTGGAACTCAGCTATTCCAGTTCTTTTATGTATTGTCAACCACTGCCTTCATACTAGAAAGGCATAGTTGACTGGTGACAGGAATCATATGGCAAAGCCCACAATATTTATTATGTGACCTTTTCAAAAAAGTGTTTACCAATCCATACTCCAGATAGTGGTTTTCAAAATCACCTCCAGAAGGTGATTTTTGCCCACCATGGGACATTTAGCAATGTCTGGAGACATTTATGGCTGTCACAGCTAAGGGAGAAATATTACTCCTATTTCATTTAGAAGCTAGTGATGCTGCTAAACATCCTATAATGCACAAGACGCTACTACCACTGCCACCACCCCAATACACACACACACACAAGCAAGAATTCTCTGGTCCAAAATGTTAGCAGTGATAAATTTGAGAAACTCTGTTCCAAAATATGTACACAGAATATTTTATACAGTGAATCTAATAAATATCTAGATACGTCTTTCAAACTATGTACTCTGGAAATAAAGAATAAACCAATGCCAACAGTATATTTAAAAACATAAGAATACATTAGAACAACAACAACAAAAAACCTTTAATAAATTCCAGAATACAAATATGATAGTTCAATAAAACTAGAAATTGTAAATATGTTCAAAACTAAAATCCGATCATTGAAAAAGCTTTAAAATTTTATTCATATATATGAGAAAAATTGTGGGAAAGCCCTTGTTTTCCTACAGAAATATCGAGGGTAAAAAAAAAAAAAAGAAACTGTCTGAACCAACTTTGTCATAGCTGTGAAAACTGTCAGAGGTTCATAGCAATCTAGCTATGAACCTCTTCAAATTAATAGGAAAGCTTTGTGATATTTTTACTTATTCCTTCCCAAACCCCTTTGGGGCATGATGGTGGTTTGGCATTAAGGCAACAGCAGTCCAGTTCCCAGGGAGCAAAGCAGACTTTATTTGCAAGTTATTGTGCATATCTGTTTAACGTAGAATACAAGGCACTGTCTATTTCATACAACTCAGAACTAAGGCAGAAAAGTGGTGGGCACTGCTATTAATAGCTACAAGACCCACAGGTGTCTGGTCAAAAGATTACAAGTGGAAACATAATAAGCCATTTAGGATCTGGAGAAGGTGGGGTGAGATTATTTGAGAATTTAGGACTTTAAAATGTAGCCATGTATACAAGGGAATTTAGAAAGATACATGCATGACCAGGCAAGATGCATGCTCAGAAAGACCTCAGAAGACCTTAAACTTTCACCTTGGATTGAGCCTCAGAGCAGGCTTAGCTAAGTGTCGAAGGACTGCTGCAGCACAAAGCAGATTTGCAAAGCCTAAGAAAGCTCTTGGCAATCAAGGAAATCTCTGTTAAAACATTAGCTAAACATTAGCTAAACGTGAGAGATCACACATGGTAAAGAATAGTTTTTGCAAAAGTAAGTGGAAAAGTCTCAAAACAAATGGAGAACTACAGTCTTCAACAATCAAAAAATAAACAAACCCCAAGGAATGAGGAGAATCTGAATTCCAAAGTTACCATGTTATAATAGTCAAATGAACAGTTTTCAAAAAAAAATTATAATGCATACAAACAAACAGGGAAACATGGCCTCTCCAAAGGAACAAAATAAATTGACAGAAACAGTCCCTGAGGAAGCCCAGACATCAGACTTACTAGACAAAGACCTTAAAACAACTGTCTTAAATATACTCAAAGAGCTAAAGGAAAGTATGGACAAACAACTAAGTAAAGGAAATCAGGAAAATTATGTAGAAAAAATGAGAATCAACAAAAAGAAATTATTAAAAGGAACCAAATAGAAATTTTGGAGCTATGAAGTACTATAACCGAAATGAAAATTTCACAGGAAGGAGTCAACAGCAAATTTGAGCAGGCAGGACAAAGAACCCATGATTCTGAAAATAGGCTGATTGAAATAATTGATTCTCAGGAAAAGAAAAGAAAAAGAATGAAGAAAAGTGAATATAGCCTAAAGGACCTATGGGACACCATCAAATGAACAATCATAAACTTATGGTAGTCACAGAAGATGAAAAGAAATGAGCAGAAAGATTATTTTAAGAAATAATGGCTGAAAATGCCCCAAATTTACTGAAATTCAGGAACCTACAAATCCAAAAAAGTGAAAAAACTCCAAGTTGAATAAACTCAAAGAAACTCAGCCTGAAATGTATTATAATCACACTATCAGAGACAAAGGGAATCTTCAAAGCAGCAAGAGAGAAGCAGT